ATAAAGGATATTCAATTATGATAAAATTGAACTAAAGTAGTTATGTGGTATATTTTACAAAGATATTGGGTTGTGGTATTGGTATATTTACCTAAATGTTCGGATCRTTTAAAACCAGATATTCATGATTTATATTAGTCATCAACTATCGATTTAACTTTAATTTTTTTTTTAATTTAGTAAAAAATTATGGACATAATAATTTAAGTTACACAAAAATAATTATATGTTTTACTAATTATAATAATAGTATAGGCTAATATAGTGGCGCCCAACTCTATGTTAAGGTCGGGCCATGGCCCGACATATTTTGAAAATTTAAGATAGGGCCGCTTCATATTRACAAWTTTCCTCTCCACGGTATGCTATTTTTTCCGATGTTAAGATRTTGGGCCTCTTGAAATATTATTCGCCCAACTAGATTTTTAGGACTTCGGCGGCATCGACGTAACTGGCTCTAATATTGTGGTAAAATAATGAATAATGATAATAATAATTATAAATTATACCTACATAATTTTATAATAATAATAATTATAAATTTAATTTTATGATAAGTCTATGAGTGAAATTTTAAAATAAAATAAAATCGACAGCCACCAGTATTAAAACAGCGTTGGAAAGCTGGAAAGGTAGCATTATAAGTGAATCTAATGATTTTTATACATATGAATTGGAAGTTTTGGGCAGAGTTTTAACATATTATGATGAATTTACTGGAATTTCAAAATGAAGGCTTATTAAAATAAAACATTATTTTTTTAGATCCAATTTCCAAGAATGAACCAGAAGAATGCTGTAATCGACCTCCACACTTAAAACATCCGTACTGTAACGAAATTCCTGTTCCTGACGATGATTACTTCTAYAGTAAATTCAATGTGAAATGTATCGATTTTGTAAGAGCTTTTCCATCTGTAAGACCAGGATGTCGCTTAGGTATGGWAGTTATTGAGTCATTACAATTTTATTGATATCTATGTTATTTTAGGTTTAAATAAAAAAAAAAAACCAAAATGTATTAATAATWRCTAATAAATTATTTAAAAAATAATTAGAATAATCTATGCTATTTTTAAAAAATAACTTCAGTTGGGAATAAAATCGCAATATGCTCATACATTCATAAGAAATATTTTACAAAAATAATACTTATTTTATTGTGTTTAAAACAATTTTCTGAATTAATAACTTCTTTTTTTCACATAATTTTGTTGGTTCAGTTACTGATTATAATCATATAATTATGTATTATATTATTTTAGGTTCAAGAGTACCATTTAACACGCTGACAGGTGTAATTGATGCAAATACGGTTTACAGCGTAACTGAAGATTATGCCAGGTATTTAAAAATAATAAAAAGTTAAAAAATAACATAAACAATTTTAAATATTGACACACACATTTTGTTTCCATTTAGGAAAAAATTTGTTAGTATTTATACAGCTATAAAAACTAATGTAAAATTACAATATTATAATATTGAAACACTATATTTTAAATTTGATTATTTTTGACAAATATCTCTAACTATATAATATTTGATTACGTATAGACATTTAAGAACTGGTTATGCTGGTTTACTTCGCATGAACCCAGCATTTATCGATCAAGGATTAAAAGATTTGTTGCCTTTGAGACTTAAAGACCCCGATGAAGGATGTACTAGAGTGAACCGTTCACAATATTGTTTTGATGCCGGTATTTTAAATTATATTAATATTTACTATATACTATTATACCTATATATTTTATTTATTTGCAGGAGAAGTTCGAGTAAATGAACAACTCGTACTTGCTACTATGCATACTATATGGGCAAGAGAACATAATAGAATAGCGAAAGAATTAGGTAAAATAAATCCGCATTGGGATGACGAAACTCTTTTCCAAGAAGCAAGACGGATCGTTATAGCAGAAATCCAGCACGTAACTTACAACGAGTTTCT